CTCAGGAGTCCCCAGGTCTCACCACATTTTGGACCAGCCAGTGGACTGGGCTACTTTTAAAAGTTTTTTGTTAAGAATTCAGTGAAGGCTTACAGAGAAGGTCATTAGTTTTACATTTAACAAATCAAACACTTTGTTTCCTCTCAATGATTGCAATCCCCTCCATGGAACAGCAGTTTTCCTATTTTCCTTTCTGTGGTTCTTATTTCCATTCCACCGTTCTTCCTCTCCCTTCTCAACTTTGTCCTTAGGTAAATGTTGCCTTTTTGATCTTGAATGACCAACCATTCGATGGTGAGCATACCTTACTAGTGCTGTTATTCCCCCTATGTACCTATCTACTGCTTGCCTGAAAATTGGGCCATAAAGGTAAATTCTGTTCAAGACCTGAAGGGTGGTCAAAAGCCACATTCTCAGGTTCCTCCTGACCAGAAAGCCTGGTATTTTTTTTTATTTTTATAATTTTGAATTTAGTTCCACGTTTTCTCCCACTCTGTCTCGGACTAGCTCATGAGCCGGGCATCATCTAGTTCTTCATCTCAGAGTTGCGGTGTTCCATTGGTCCATTGGACTGATTGTTTCCTAGTGTCTTCAAAGCTTTATCACTCTTATTTCTTCTGCACAAGAAGAGACCAATAGGTGCACCATAGATGGTCACTCAGGTGCTTTCAACATCCCAGTCACTATTCTCCAAAATAGGATGTAGAACATTGTCTTTGTGGGCTAATATGGTATGTCAATTGATCACGATGTCTCCCAGGCCCAGCATCTCATTGTCTTAACATGTTTGATAATCTAAGAAGTATCCATCATTTTGTTCCCTGTATGTGCCACCACATCCATAGGTGAGTTTGCAGCAAATATCCTCTTAAAAATCCTTATACATCTGTGGGAATACTCTTACTCTCCCTCACATACCCATTCAGCCTGTGTATCTGTGAACTGGGTTACTTTTTAAAGGATTCTGAATTCTTTGTGAAGCCCATTAAAATTTGACAGGGGTGGGGTGAGTCCTAAAGAAGTAGACAAAGTGGGAGCAGCCATTTAGAGTTCTATGTGGTGCTATAAGATAAGCACTGGACTACAAGGTTAGTTTGAACCACAAGGCCAGCAGTTCAAACTGGGAACCCTATACAGAGTTGCTATGAGTCGGAACCCACGCGACGGTACGTAACCACAAGAACAAGGTGAGGCAGGGACGTCCTGGGGCTGGGGGGGGAGCTCTGGTGCAGGGAACTGCTTCGTGTGGGTGCAGCAGCCACACTGGGAACTGCTCATGGGTCCCTGATGCCTTGCATGACTGGTAGCAGTTTTAAGGACATGGTGCATGTTCTTTGAAACACATAAAGCCATATAAAGCCGTGCGATCCTGAGTTGCTTACAACCCATGCAGACAGAAACCCAGCAGATGAAAATATTTAACTACAGTGAAGCCAAGGTAATTTCCATTTATCCAGTGAAAAAGGAAAATCAAGTTTTCTGACCAGTGATGCTGTCCTCTGTTTAGTTAAAGGTGTGGGGAAAGTTTCTAGTCATTGCTATGACACAGTATTTTGCTTTGTCTTTGTGAGTATGCCAGTAGCTCATCTTCTCACTCTTTTTTACCATCATAATGAAGAAGTTTCCATAGTTTTTTCCTCCCATGATGAAGAAATTGATATGTGACTATAATAATAATTCCTAGTATATACACTGGACTGCAAACCACAAGGTCAGAAGTTCAAGCCCACCAGCCACTCTGCGGGAGAAAAATGAGACTTTCTGCTCCTGAAAAGATTCAGAAGCCTTGGAAACCCTATCTATATAGGGTTGCTATGAGTTGGAATCAACTCAACGGCACTTAACACAAAATAATGACTTCCAGAAAAATTGGAAATAATGTCAAAAAGGAAAGAAATCCCAGCCGTCAGGGATAATGCTATTATTGATGTTTTACGTGTGTTTTTCTTATCCTTCTTGTACCTTTATCTTGAGTTTAAGTGAAATCATACTACATTTGTCAATACAGAATGCATCTCTCTCATCCCAGTGGATGTGTATTGGCATCATGCTTTTGCATAGTGGTTCATTTTATTGATGTGTTGTGGCTGATCTTTCTATGACCAGCATTCCAGATGCTGATGGGGCTTGCCTTGGGTTGTTCCTCCTTGGTCACTTAATCCTCTGTCATAGATGGCTGGTGACTCAGGGTTTCAGAGATAATTTTGACTTTCGCTGGTCAATGATCGCTGTCAAAGCAGAGGTTGTTGTTTTTGTAAGTATGTGTCAAGTTGTTTCTGACTTACGGTGACCCCAGCTGTGCAGATCATGGAGTCTGTCCTCTGAGATACCTCTGAGTAGGTGTAAGCCACAAACCTTTCAGATAATAATTGAGCACTTAATCATTTGTGCCACCCAGGGACTCTTCAAAGTAGAGATAATGTACAGTAAAGTAGGAGAGCTATTGTATAATCCTACTTATATGAAAGATCTAGAATAGGAAAATGCATAAAGACCAAAGTAGATTGGCAGTAACCAGGGCCTGGAAACAGAGTGGTATGGGAGTTATTGTATAATAGGATCCAGTTTCTACTTGGGGTGAGGAATACATTTTGGAAATATGTAATGATGATCCTTACACAACGTGGTGAATGCAGTTCCTGTCACGGAATTGTGCACTTAAAAATGGGGCAGACTTTATGTTATACTCATCCTTTACCACAAAGGAGTTTGCAAAAACAAACAGATAAAAAAAAAACCCACTCTCCTTGCTTTCACTGACTGAGCTTATTCCATTCGGTTATTTGTTTTCTGTGTTCCAACAGAAGAAGGGTCAAGTAGCTTTGGAGCTTTGGAACCAGGCTGCCTGGGTTTGTCTTCTGTCTTGGTGGTATCACTTATCAAGTCTTTGCCTCCATCTCTAAAATAGAGATAACCAGCAGGATCTCCTCCCTCCTTGGTCAGATGAAATGATCCATGTTGAACATGCCAAGCAGCACAGGGTCTGGCACGTAGCCACCCACTGCCATTGAGTCAATTAGGACTCACAGTGACCCTATATAGGGTTTCTGAGACTGTAAATCTTCCTGGGAGCAGGCAACCTCATATTTCTCCTGCAGAGCCGGTGGTGGTTTGAACCACCGACTTTGCAATTAGCAGCCTAGTGCCTAACCTGGCATATAGCTAGTGCTCAACAGGTTGTTGTTGTTAAGTGCCGTCGAGTAGATTCTGACCCATAGCAACCCTGAACAGAGTTTTCCAAGGCTGTAAATCTTTACAGGAGCAGAAAGCCTCATCTTTCTCCCACAGAGCAGCTGGTAGTTTCGAACTGCTGACCTTGCGGTTCACAGCCCGATTCATAACCAGTACGCTACTATGGCTCAGTCCTTTTAAGTGAACTTACCAGTTTGTGGGAGCCCTGATGGTGTAGTGGGTTATACGTTGGCCTGCTAACTGCAGGGCCAGCAATTAGAACCCACCAGTCGCTCCACAGGAGAAAGATGAGGCTTTCTGCTGCAGTAAAGATTGACAGCCTCGGAAACCCTATACAGGGTCACTATGAGTCAGAACCGACTTGACAGCACACAATCACCACCACCACCACTACCAGCTTGTGGCTTTGAGGACTGCTTAGGAAGCCCCAGTAGATTCTAGACTTGGGAAGTCCCGGGGCCAGAGTACCTTTTATAGTGTTTTCAAATCAGTGAGTCCCCAGTCTGTATTACTGCCTGACTTAAACTGACTTGCTGAATTCGTCCTTCATTTCCCAATAAGAAAACAAAACAAAACCAGCAAACCTGAGCAGGTGATGTAGGTAAAATGTAGTTTCTCCGGATAAGTCAATATCATACCTGAAGTCAGTATATACCCTAGCTAAGGAAATTTTTGACTAGGAGAACCAGGAATTCGTAAATGATAGTGATAATGGTAAGAAATATAAGGGAACTAAAAGCTCTTATTCTGAAATAAATAAAATCTGGTATCCCCTCCTTTATCTGGACTCCTTTCTGGTAAGCAGATTATCTAAACAGTTGAAGCTTATTCATTTAACCACCATAACACTTTGCATTTAAACCACTTTGATGTAATTCTTTCTATTGGGCATTGAAGCGTTTATGGCGTTATTATAGAGACTATATTGAAAACAATTTAGCCAATTTGTTAGGCTTTGGGTCATTTTTAATTTGGTGTCCTTGTTTTTGTTTTGCTGGTTTTTTGTTTTTAACTCTGCCAAATAATCTCAGTGCCATGGTCCATGGAAAGAGTCCCCTTAGGACTCAGACAGCTGTACCCCTTTAAGTTTTAACTGTTTTCCTTTCATTTTTGTTCTCATTGCCAGGGCATGCCAATTTCTACTTTTTACTACAGAAGTGTCCATGATTGCTTTCCACATTCAAAAACACCTTTTCCAATTTGCTGGTTTATACATTTTTACCTTGGGAAACCAGACTCATGTCTGTTCCTATTTTGTGTAAAGAAAGATTTATTGTTGTTAAGTGCCATTGAGTCGGTTCCGACCCACAGAGACCCTGACCAGGGTTTCTGAGGCTGTAAATCTTTATGGGAGCAGAAAGCCTTATCTTTCTCCCGCGGAGCAGCTGGTAGTTTCGAACTGCTGACTTTGTGGTTCGCAGCCTGATTCATAACCACTATGCCACTAGAGCTCCATAAAGAAAGATTAATAGACACTAAATGAAGTCATGTACTAATAACAGGGCTTTTGATCATCCACAAACTTTCAAAATTAATTTTCCAGTTCCAGTTGGTTATCTGGAATGGTGCAAGTTTGATACTGGATAAAATGCTATTTTATTTCTAAACTACAGTACTTGTGGTTTTGCATTAGAGGCATAGTACCTTCTTCCTTCTGCTCAGAAACTAAGTAGAGAAATTACTTTAAACAAAAAATCATCTTTGCTCCAGGCATTGGTAAGAGTTTTGTAAAATGGGATTTGGATCTTTTTGATAAAAAGCAAAATATTCTGATTACTTCATGAGTGTGTGTCCTTTTTTTTTAACAGAGAAATAATAATGAGTATAACCGCTGGAAAGCTGACAGAACATGAGTTTATAACCATTGCACGTCACTATCGTGCAGTCGAGGACAAGGAGATACATGTAAATGTCTTGATTACAATGGCCCATGAACAGCTCAAGAAAAATTCTTTTGAGAATTTTGAAATACTAATCTCTACTTGTGTGTACCAAGATCGAGAAAAGTAAGCTTAAAACAAAAAATAAAAAAAATCTAATCAATGATTTGTATTTCTATGATCCTGAGTAATGAAGGAATTTATCAAAAAGGGCAAAAATGAAAATCGATATTTCTCATTTTTGGAGAGTATCTGGGTATTGTAAGGAGCTCTGGTAGCGTAGTGGTTACGAATCGGGCTGCGAACCTTAAGGTCAGCGGTTCGAACTACCAGCTGCACCGCGGGAGAAAGATGAGGCTTTCTACTCCCATAAATATTTACATCCTCGGAAACCCTATACAGGGTCGCTATGGGTCGGAAACGACTCGATGGCACATAGCAACAACAACAACATCTGGGTATTGTATAGTGATGATGATCTTTGTTTGTAGATGGAATAGGGAAGGCCTTCAAAAGAATATGGTGTCCCTTTGCATTTTCTTTCAATTGGTTTCTAGAAGCTTTCATCGGAAATAGAGTGAAAAAAAAATGTTGTTGTTTGCTATTAAGTCTGTCCCCACTCATAGTGACCTTGTACAGTATTTCCAAGGAGCTGCTGGTAGGTTTGAACCTCTGACCTTGGGTTAGTAGTCCTGGGCTTATCCTACCAAGATTCCAAATCAACATGTTAGAAGGTTTAATTCTGCAGTGTCTTCTCCTTCTTACATGGTTTTAGTGCTCACTGGGATTTATAAATGTGACTTTTATAATCAACAGGCCAGGGAATTTGCAAGTAACATTTTTATAGAGTTTCTTTGAAATTGTTTTTCTTCTTGAAAATGATGAAGCTCAGCAGAATCTGTTTCCAATCCAATTATGTTAAGCTTCCTCAAGTCAGCATTAGAATACACAATTGGAGCCCCATTTACGAAAAGTTTTGATGTTCATCTTACCTGCAGGTCTGATACAGTAGGGGAGCACAATCATCTAGATATTAGAAAAGCTTAGCTCTATCTCTGGCTAAGTAAGTGCTAACCACAAGCTCCATGCTTCAAACCCACTAGCCGCTCCTCAGAAATGCTATACAGGGTTGCTATGAGTTAGAAGTGACTCAATGGCATTAAACAACTCTGGCTTCTAAACTTGTGACGGCACACCACTGCCGTCTTCCTTCTCTGTGTCTTCTCTCATCCCAAAACGTAAATCTGCACTCCAACTTACCAGCTGCATACGCTATGATCTCTGAAGGTCACGTGTTGTGTGCCATCAAGTCAATTCCAACTCATAGGGACCACATGTGACAGAGTAGATCTACCCCATAGGATTTCTTACATCATAATCTTTATGAAAGCAGAGCACTAGGCCTTTTCTCCCCAAAAGCCACTGGTAGGTTCAAACTGCTGACCTTTCAGTTGCAGCAGAATGCTTAATCATTGTACCAACAGGGCTCTTTTGAAGGTCCCATTGTTTATCTTAAAAATGAATATTGATTTTTTTCTTAATCTGTAATACATCCTTGTTGTTTTCTTATAAGGATGGTATTTTTCTTTGAATCTGTGACCCTCCCTGAGTCTCCCAGAGGATGTATAGTCTGAACTTGAATAACCCTGGCCCTGTCTTCCACCCTGGTAGTCTCCTTCTTCAGGGTGAGAAACTTGAGTTTCTTTCACTAAAGGAACACCTCTTTAGGGCAATGGGGATGTTCATTTGATCAGATAGCTGATAATGGGAATGTTTGTTTAGTGAAATAGCTCTGAGATGTTTCTGTATCTGAAAAGCTTTGAATCTAGGCATAAACATTCTTATCATTTTATAACCTTATTACAAAGACAGAGGCTACTTTTTCCACTGTTGATTTTTGTTTTGCCTGATACCTGGAAGAACATTCATTGAGTTGGATAAGCATTTCTGTGCCTCCAGCATGTTGGTAAAAATTACTTTGGGGTTTTTCTGGAGAAATCATCTGACAAAACTGATCTTAATGCTCCATCTGTGGTTCCCAGGATATAAGGTTTGGGTCCAAGGAAAAGACCAGAAAAACACCCTCAGGTCATATCATACTTATGTTGGAGGCTTTAGATGCCTGTCAAATTAAGAGGTGTTTTCAAATATCAGAACCATTTTTGACTAGTGGTCAAAAATGAAGATCAATTACTTAGAGCACCACTCATGGTTGCAGGCTTAATAGGTAGTCTGTACTATCGATAACCAGGAATTCTAAATCTTGATGGAAAGGCCTTTGTGTGGACAGACTCTTGTGATTTCTTGAATGGAAACAGTTGATGAAATGCAATATGATTTTTTTTTTTCCCTTTCCGTGAATGCCAATATCAATTTTTGTGTTTATTTCCCTGTGCACATTTTTAGGTCATGTCCGCATATTCTCTCTTCAAACATGTAATTGCTAGTAAAGGACACAAGGTATATAAAAGCCTACTTTCTTTGTTTTAATGCAGAAAAAAAGTATTACCCAGCAAATACATCAGAACACTATGCAAGTCCTCCAGGTTACCTATTACGGAAGATCTTCTAATGGCCTTACTGTCCAGGTAAGCAAGAAAGAGCTCTCTTCTAGATGGAGGTTGTTGTATGCGTAGTGGGTTGTGAATTGGGCTGTTAACTGCAAGGTCAGCAGTTCGAGTTGACCACCTGCTCTGCAGGAGAAAGATGAGGCTCTCTGCTCGCATAAAATTTTGCATTTTCAGAAACCATATCCAGGGTCTGTATGAGTCGGAACTGAATACACAGCACACAACCACTACCACTAAAGGTTTACATCTACCTTTAGTTACCCTTGACCTCTTGTGTTTGGTTGTTTTATTGATGCTACGTCTCCATTTCAGAGTGACAGAAGGACAAGTTAGTTGTGGTTTTGAATGATAGAGAATAGTCTGTCATGAATTATTATTTTATTTTTTAAACATTAATATACAGTTGCATACGCACAGATTTCTGGAACAAAAAGAAATGAAAAGTACAACTCTTTTGGTTTTGAGGACATTGAATGTAAAATTCAGTGTAGGTATCTCAAAATATTTTCTGATGATTAAGACATACAGTAAGAGGACCTACCGTAAGGTGATATTGGTACCAGATGTAAATCTTAGATTATGACATCCCAAAAGGCATTTACAAAACACACCATCTTTCCTGTAGAACTTTTGACTTTCTGGCACCACTGTGCCAGCTACCCAGACTGAAGACTGTGGTCATCTTTTATGCTGCCTAAGGAGCTCTGGTAGCGTAGTGGTTACGAATCGGGCTGCAAGCCTTAAGGTCAGCAGTTCGAAACTACCAGCTGCTCCGCGGGAGAAAGATGAGGCTTTCTGCTCCCGTAAAGATGTACAGCCTCGGAAACCCTGTGTCCTCAAAGTAACATTTTTGCTCATTAACACTTTTAAAGAGGCATTTTGTGGCAGATTTGCCCAATACAGTGCATAATTTGAAACACCACATGGGGGTGAGGTGGGCTTTAGCAAACAGGAATTTGTTATCAGTCACAGTTTAGGAGGCTAGCAGTCTGAATTCAAGGTGTAAGTTTTAGGGAAAGGCTTTCTCTCTCTGTTAGTTCCAGAGGAAGGTCTTTGAGCTTGTGCTCCTGGGAAATTTTCCTGTGGCTTGGCATCCTGCTTCCCCCAGCTCTGTTTCCTGGCTTGCTTGTTTAATCTCTTTATATCTCACAACAGATTGGTTTTCTTTGAGACACATCAAAGTCAATTGGCATGCCACAGTCCACAAAGACAATGGTCTACATTTGACTTTAGTGAGTAGTGATCGGGGTCTTAAAAGCTGGTGAGGGACCAGTTGAGGTGCAACTATTGATCTCTCCCCATCTCGAGTCTGAAGCAAAGAAGAATGAAGATAAGCCGAGATACATGAAAACAATCAGTCTAAAGGACTAATGGACCAAGTGAACCCCAGCCTCAGTGACCCTGAAGCTACTATTGCCTACCACTCCTAAAGGGATCACAATAGGAGGTCCTGAATAGAGTAGGAGAAAAATGGGGGCCCAAACTCAAAACCCATCAAAAAGATTAGACTTACCAGTCTAATTGAGATTGGTAGAACCCCTAAAATTATAACCCTTAAATGCTCTTCAGGCTTGAAATGGGACTCATCGCTGCGGTTCAACCTTCAGCAAATAATGATGTTATTGTTGAGTCAGTTCTAACTCATAGCAACCCTAGATAGAGTTTCTGACTTTTTGGTTAGCAGCCCAGTGTTTATCCTACAGTGCCACACCAGAACTCCATTTTTGTTAGATGCATTCAAGTCGGCTCTGACTCAACACAACAGAACAAAACACTGCCTGATCCTTTGGCACCCTCACAATTGTTGTTTGAGCCCATTGTTGCATCCGATGTCAATCCATCTTGTTGGCAGACTTCCTCTTTTTCTGCTGACCCTCTACTTTACCAAACATAATGTTCTTTTCCAGGGACCAGTCCTTCCTGATAACATGTCCAAAGTGCGTGAGATGAAGTCTTGCCATTCTTTCTTCTAAGGGAGAATTCTGGCTGTCTTTCTTCTTAAACAGATGTGTTTGCTTTTCTGGCAGTCAATGGTACTTTCTATATTCTTTGCCAACACCATAATTCAAATGCATTAATCTTCTTTGGTCTTTCTTATTCATGTCCAGCTTTCACATGCATATGAGGCAATTGAAAATATGACTTGGGTCAGGCAGTGTTTTGTCCTCAAAGTAACATTTTTGCTCATTAACACTTTTAAAGAGGCATTTTGTGGCAGATTTGCCCAATACAGTGCATAATTTGATTTCTTGATTGTGCATTGATTGTGAACCCAAGTAAAATCATATCAAAAGGGTAGAATTTGCCCAGGTATAAAGCTGGGCAAGGTCTGTTTGAACCACAAGGTCGGCAGCTCAAACTTAGCAGCCGCTCATTGGAAACGCTATACAGGGTCGCTATGAATTGGAACCAACTTGATGGAACTTAACAAAAACAACAACAAAACTCAGAAAGCAGAAACAAATGGAAAAGAATGACAAATGGGAAACACTGGGAGAAAGTGAGAATAGTGCTTTTACGTTGTAGGGATTACAATCAATGTCATGAAACAAAATGTACATGAATTGTTGAATGGAAAATCAATTTGCTTTGTAAACTTCCACCCAAATCACAGTAAAAAGTTTTTTTAAAAAAAAGATTGCTCGAGATACACCCTATATTAATGTAACAAACAGAACCCATTCCCAAATGGAATTATAACCACAGGCATAAAGGATTTACAACATATATTTTGGGAGGGGGGGACAAAATGAAATCTGTAACACTACCACTTACAAATACTGTCTTCTCTCCATTCCCACCATCAATCTTTGGTTGGATCCATATTTGTTCTTGACAATTGCAAGGACCCCTGTGTTGGTGTTTTTTTTCCCATGAGATTCTAAATTTTTAAATCCATCCTTACTTAAAGCAACTGTGTGCCTTATAAGAGTACAAATGCCATTGTGTCATTCGTCTATTCATAAGCCTATGATGTCTATTCTCCAAGGTAAGATTAATGTCCTTAGCTTTGAGCTATTTCTGCCCCTTCTCCATTGTGGAGCTCGGAATTGTCAGTTGGAGCTCTGTTCTCAAGCTAGGGTTGGAGTACGGATTCCTCATCTGAGACAGAAAGGAGAAATCAAGGGAACAAGTAAAACTAAATCCTCTATGGGGAAACAGTCCAAGCTGTCAGAATGGGAATGCAGAAGAGGACTAGTCTACTCGGATATGTATGTATGTTAGGTTAACCTGGAGTCATTTTCTAGAAAATATGTTCATTTATTTTACTTTCCAGCAGTAATGTGAAGTATAGGTCATCCTAGTGAAAAGGACCTGGGATGAAGTAGGCAGGCCTAAGAGTCAGGGGTCTTTACAGTTGGGACTTGAATCTATTGAATCATACTCACCAAGCTCTTCCGTTTTCCAGTAGTGCAGTCAAATGAACCATTTGGCATTCTACCTGTGCCTTTCCACTTTTTTCTTTTGCTCTGTTTCCTCAGTAGAAGAGTGTTATGTTGTTGTTAGGTGCCATGGAGCCAGTTCTAACTCATAGTGACCCTATGCATAATAGAATGAAACCCTGCCCCTTCCTGTACTAGCCTTAACTGCTGCCACTGTAGCAGTCCATCTCATTGGGGATCTTCCTCTTTTTCGCTGAAGGATCCATGTCCTTCTCCAGACATGGATCCCTCTTGATAACATGTTCAAAATCTGAGAGATGATACCTTGCCATCCTGACTTTTAGGGAACATTCCACCTGTACTTCTTCTGAAACAGATTTACTTGTTCTTCTGGAAGTCCATGGTAATTTTTTTTTTAAACTTTTTATTGTAAATTAAATGAAGGTTTACAGACAAGATCATCAGTTTTACATTAACAAATCAGACACTTTGTTTCATCTCAATGCTTGCACTTGCCTCCATGTAACAACAGTTATCCTGCTTCCTCCCTTTGCTTCCTGTTTCCAGTCCACCTACCTTCCCATCACTTCTCCCACCTTCCCATCCCTTCTCAACTTTGTCCTTTGGTAAATGTTTCCCTTTTGGTTTTGTATGATTGACCATTCCATGGTGTGAGCATATCTGACAAGCGGTGTTGTCACCTCTGTGTGCCTATCTACTGCTTGCCTGAAAATTGGGCCACAAGGGTGAGTTCCATTCCAAATCTGAAGAGTGGTTGAGGGTCTTGGGGTCCTCCATGCTATTTCTGATCAGTAAGCCAGATAATTTTTTTTTTTAATAATTCTGGGTTTTGATCTATATTTTCTGCCACTCTATCTGGGACCTTCTAATGTGATCCCTTTCAGAGCAATTGGTAGTGTTAGCTGGGCACCATTTATAGATGTTCGTATATCAGAGTCATGGAGACTGATGTTCACATGTTACTTTTAATATTCTTCTCCAGTACCATAACTCAAATGCATTGATTGTTCTACAGTCTTCCATATTTATTGCTCAGCTTTCACATGCATTTGAGGCAATTGAAAATACCATAGCTTGGTTCAGGTGCATCTTAGTCCTCAAACCGGCAGTTTTGCTCCTTAACACTTTAAAGAGGTCTTGTGCATCAGATTTCCCTAATGTAATATGTCACTTGATTTGTTGACTGTGGCTTCCATGAGTGCTGATTGTGGATCCAAAAAACCTTTTTTTAATAAAGTCTTTGACAATTTCAATCTTTTCTCTTTTTATCTTGATGTTATTTATTGATTCATTTGTGAGGATTTTTTTTTTTTTCTTTACATTGAGGTGCAATCTATGCAGAAGGCTGTGGTCTTTGACCTTCATCAGTAAGTATTTTAAATTCTCTTCACTTTCAGCAAGTAAGGTTGTATCATCTGCATATTGCAGGTTGTTAATGAGTCTTCCTCCAATCTTCATATAATCCAGCAGAATAAATATAGTGAAAGAATTCAACCCTGGCACACACCTTTCCTGATTTTCAATCATTTTGTATCCCCTTATTCTCTTGTAACAACTGCCTCTTGGTCTATGCACAGGTTCCTCAGGAGCACAATTAAGTGTTCTGGAATACTA